GTCCTCGCCTCCGGGGGGCCCCGCGCTCCCCTTTGCCGCATCCACGGTTCCGTAGAGCTGCCGAAACTGCGCGGAGGAGCAGCGAGGTCTCCCCCGAACACGCCGGCTCAAAGACGCGGGCTTTGGAGCAGCCCCCCTCGGCGCTGCCGACAGCGCTGAAGCCCCGGCTGAAAAGCGTTAAGCCCAGGGCTGGCTCTTGCGTGGCCAAACGCTGCTCTCCCAAATCACGCTCGCTCCCGGTGCGTTTCCACCTGTTCTGCTGTAACTGCGGGTCCCTAACACAGGAACGCTGCTGCCTTGAGTGCTGTGCTAGAAGCAAAGCAGGGCTGACAAGGTGAGGACGGACGAGGGACAAGTGGAAGGAGCGGCAATGAAACCGGGTGTACAGGAGCTAAGGCAACATCACGGAGAAAGCGCGCTCCTAAGGAGGAAATAGGCTGGGCCCTGGGCATTCAGCAGCAGCGGGAAACCTCAGTCCTGTAGGGCTCTTTTGTAGCCCTTGACAGGCTGGGGTTTCCATCTGCTGCAGTGTCCAGCTCCGTTACAGCTCTACAAGCATATAGGAAGTTCACCTATAGCTCAGCCTCCCTGGGGGTGTGCTGGGCAGTCTGTAAGTCTCCCTGCAGAGGGACCCAAGCTCGCTCATCCTACCTGTTATTCTGTGCCACACTTTATCAGCCAAGTGGAAACTCTTTCTGCAGGGCTCCCCTTTCATTTCGCATCAGCCAGTACTTCAGCCATCTGACCTCCAGCTTGGCCTGTCTGCGCAGGGTACTCAGCTTCTGAGCTGGGGAAGCGCAGGAACACATGGCACCCACTTGCCTCTCATGGAATCTTGCATGCCGTGGCAGAACCACTAGTCAGCCTACAGGGACAGGATACTCGGGCTTTCCTCCTTCCATTCTCTTTAACCTCTGAAAACTGGTAGCACAGGGCCCTGGAGTAACTTCGGTGTTGTTGCTCAGGAACCACGGGTGACAAGGAGAAACAGGCTGATATGCTTCCCAGTCCCACACCCAGACAAACCAGCCTCAAAGACGGGTTTGCAGCACAGCTCAAGCACGCTCACTGCGCAGCAAGGACCCAGTGGCCCCTGCCAGAGGCAAGAGATATACCCAGTCCAAACAGCTGGGACGAGCCGTAGCTCTGTCACAGAACCAGTTTATTGTGTAAAGAGGAAGAACAACCATCTGTCACCCCTGTAGGGTCATACCCTGCCACCAGCTGAAAGCCTAATACTAAAAATGCTTTAACATTGCTAGCACCTTTGGCAGCCTCCACATCAATATTGAAATGCTTTTCCTGCATCACCTGCATGGCCAGAACTCCTCGGGAGACAATAGGCCCATCTGCAACGTCCTCCTTTTACCAGCACTCCTCCAGCACACCCCAAGGAAGAATACAGTACAACCGTTACCCACCCAAATCTGTTCCATCCCCTCCAGCCTGTTGCTCCCACTGCCACCCTGTAAAAGCAGCAGGGGCAGCTTGCGTGCTTTGTGCAGTTTCCTGTCTTGGGACAGGACTCAAGACTCCGGGAGAAAAGTAGAGGCAAGGAAGCCGCGCAGGGACATTGGCTATAAAGAAAGCAGCAGAGGCCACCTTCTCTTTGCTGCTGTTCTGGGGCTGGCTCCCAAGCCTGTGCCTGAAAGGAAGGTTCACTGTCCTCCTAGACGATGGGCTGTAATCCACTTTCCATCTGACCAGAGCGTTGGTCCCTTCTGCCCTTTAAGTCTACAACCCTCATGCATCCCTTTCCCCAGCGGGCCCAGGGAAGAGAGGCGCTGCGTTGCCCTCGACACAGCACGGTGCCTGCTCACGCCTGGCCTGGCGCTCGGGGCTGTGCCGGCAGGAAGGGTCGAGCAGGGCCACCCTCCCTCCTTGTTGCTACCACAACCCTGGCCAGCCTCCTTCCTTCACAAATACTGGAGTTTGAGGGGCAGAAGGTCCCGCTGCTCCTAGAACCCACCCTTTGCTGCTGTTTCTTGCTCAGTTTGAGTCAGACTTGGGAAATTCTCCAGACCAGAAGAGCAGGAGTCTTCCTCCTCTGCAAAAGCATAGTCGCCTGGATGTGTTTCACTCAGCAAGTCCTTGTGGTTGGACATGCATTAGGGCTTCTCAAGTCCTCCCTGGACCTCTTTTTTGTCAAGCAGGGACAGACTTTCCTCCTGTGTCTCATGCAGGACAAGCTGGGTGAGCTGGAACAAGATGGGAGCCACAGCCAGACCAGATGACTCGGTGTTTCCCTTTACTCTTGTATTCTAAAGAACTAGGAATGCAACTGCATGAAGGAGCCCCGAACTTTTTTCTAGGTGTTTTCCCCTTCAAAGAAGGGGAAAGTGCAGTGCAACACCTTCAAAGGAACAGGAAGAAAAAAAGAAATGGTCTAGGAAATACCAGACAGACATAACTGTGCCAACATAAGGCAACAGCGAGGGCTGCTGTGCTGGATTTCACCAGCCCAGGGGCTCTGTTGGGAGAAATGCTGTCTGGAAGGGACAGCCACTCCATCACAACACAGCTGGACCGCACAAGCTGAAGCGGAGCAGCCACTGTCAATAGGCATCAACACTGCACTCCAAGGAGGTATAGCCTGATGCAAGGAAAGGTGCCGAAGAAGAGTCCTGCTGCCACACAGTAGCCCAGCACCTGGGTACAAACGCCTGCATGAGTCTAAGGGAACGGCACAGAAGGTGTCCTTCTCCCGAGGAGGTTTGTCTTTGACTTCAGCTCTGCTCTCAGCTACCCCGGGAGCAGTGCAAGGAGAGCATCAGGGAGCACAGTGACGCTGAAACATATCCATGGGTGGGTGGGAACAGATTCTGCCCATGGAGAGCACAAAGAGGTGTCAAAGGGAAAAGGGAGCACTCGCTACCCCTCCACCTGCCCAACACCCAAGCCAGGCTACCAGCAACAGTGGGGCAGCGAGAGCAGTTCACAGCACCCCAAACCAGACAGAGCACAGAGAAGGGGCAGCTGGCAAAGAGGGTCCAGAGGTTCACACCATCTGTCTCTCAAAGTCAAGGCAGATATGAGACAGGGCAGAGGCACTTTGGTCCCTTCTGAGAGGTGCTTTAGAGCCCAGCCTCTAATGTATTGTGCAGCCCTGCATTTGTGTGGCAGCATCTGCTCTAATAAAGACAGCGACAAGACACAAGCTCTGACAGCAGATGCAAGATGGGGCAGGAGGGATCTAGGCCTGGTTCAAACTTCTAAGACCAAAAGGCATTCTGATACCTCTTAAAAAATCCTATCAGAAACCATTTCTGCATGGGACACCACGAACGCTGCCTAGAAGTAACCAAGGCTTCTGGACAAACAATGCCCATGATGAAGCTCTGATGAGGATCTCACCCCTGCCCAACAAAGAGCAGCAACGCCAGGGACAGTTTGTACCAACCCCACTACAGGTTAAAGACCCTCTTCTACAGCGCTGCACTGCCCCGCAGCTGCTGCAAGCCAAGAGCCAGGTATTGGGGGACACCAACACTGAGAGTGAGCTTTTTTTCCTTATACAAAAAAGAAAGGGCACAGAGGAGACTGATGTTCAGCACAGCCAGACTACGGCGGTCTGGTCAGTTCTTCTTGCTGCTGGGGCTCTTACTGGTGAACAGACTGACTTTGCTGGCAGATGCCACAGACAGAGAAGGAGACTCCAGCTTCACCTTATCCAACAAAGTCTTCTTTATGGCTGCTGGGGAGATCTTCTCTTGGTCTGCCAGATGCTGCAGCTCCCTGCAATGAGGTGGTGGGAGAGAAAGACGTAGCAAAAGGAAGAGACAGGGAGTGTGGGGGGCAAGTTGTGCAGGCTCTTTACAGGACTTCCTAGATGCTCACCTCGTCCGGATGCAGGAAGCCTCCACAGCATTGATTAGGAGTGAGCGAAAGCCACCGCTCTCCAGGAAATGCAGGGCATGGATGGTGGCTCCCCCGGGCGAGCAGACGTTGTCCTTCAGCTGACCAGGATGCTGCTCAGAGTCTAACAGCATTTTGGCAGCACCCTGCAGTGAGGGAGAGAAAACAGCTGCCAGAGGAACCGACTGTCAAACGCTCCCATTCCCCGCTGCACAGAGCAGCACCTAACGCTCACAGTGGGCAAAACCGGGCTCCTGCCTGCGAGCCATTAGCAGGCTGCCAAAACACTTCAGAGCAGAAAAAGCCTGCAGAGGAGTCACGGCTCCCCAGGCCCCACCACCACCATCAGCACCAGCAAATTGCTGCGGACATTTCCTACGTCCCTTCACCGGGACCCTGTGTGCAGCCAAACCAAACATGGTTTTTGATGTAGATTCAGTAAGAGGACTGAGATAATTTCAAACCGTGATGTGCAGAATACTCTGCACAGAGCAGAGACAGCCTCAGATGTGTTCTGGAGGCAGCCATACTGACCAGCAAAGCCTGTGCTCCGAGTCGAACAGCCAGCCTGCGGGGAAGTCCCATTTTCACTCCCCCGTCTGCCAGAGCATCCAGAGCGGTGAACGCCTGAGACCAGACAGAGGAAGAAAGTCACTGAAAGTCTCTGCTCCAAGACTGATGTTCTCAAGGAGGAGAGAATCCAGGGCTCTGGGATCAGCCTGTGACTCCTATCGCTTACAGACTTGACAAAAGCCTCTTCCTTTTCTGCATGGCTGCCATGCCAGGCTTCCCTCCTGCTAGCTCCAGCTCAGGAGTGGGGGCAATGGGAGAAATTCAGCTTCTGGGCCATACTAACTACAGGCCCACGTTTTGCAACATGGACACGTGGACACTGCACGCTGGCTATGGACTTCAGACTCATCCGACTGGTAACGGACTTTTGTTGTTGACCCAAACTGGTTATAAACTGGACACACGGATTACATGTCCCACCGCAGACATGAGCGACGAGAAAACCAAGAAATGACAAACTGAAGCTGCACAGACTTTCCCAGCGTGCAAAGCCTCCTGCTCCCCCCAAGGCTGTCACAAGTTGAGGAAGCAGCACATACATACGCAGGGCCACTGCCACTGAGCCCCGTTACAGCATCTATCAGGTCCTCCTCCACCTCGGTGCAGAAGCCTACGCTGGCCATCAGTTGTTCCAAGAGCTTCCCATCCTCCACATCCGCATGAGTCCCAGTGGCATAGACTGTAGCACCTTCCCGGACAATGACAGGGGTGTTGGTCATGCACCTGATCACTTTTGGTGTGGGGCAGAAGGCAGAGAGTTTCTTAGGGCAGAAAATTATTGGAGATAGAAAGAAAGAAAGAAAAAAGAAAGAAGAGAGAAAAAATGATCTTTAGCGCACATTTGGCCAGGGCAAGCTCCTGTATTACAAATTCCCTGCTTTGAGCCAAGGTGGCCAAAACTGAAGCGTTCAGTCCGTAGTGGTACCAGCAAACGGGAAGCTGAGCGGAGCTGCTGTTGGGAACAACGCCTCATTCCCACATCAACTCACAAGCCTCCAGAACAGCTCCTGCAGACTCGTAGCACAAAGTCTGCAGAAATTCAGGGGAGATGACCTTTTGAGAACAAAAAGATCTGATAGCGCCTCAGGTAATAAAAGAGCTGCCATAAAGACTTACAGGACAGGCAGAGGTGACCCAAAGCAGCTGGCTGCAGCGCCAGCTTAGCCCCGGGAGCACAGGTAGCACCCATCCCCGGCATCGGGGGGGGGGGAGGAGTGG